GGTGCTAGTGGTAAATCCTTGAATTTTTTCACGCGTTACGCATATCTCTGACCCGGAAATGTCAATCGTATTATTGTGTGTTCCATTACCAGTATATTGATCATCTACCACATAGTAATACACCCGAAATAGATTCCACATGCCCGAAATAGATCTCTCATACCAAAAATATATTCCACATACCCGAAATAGAAAATCGACTAGGTATCACCTGAGCATCTGAGTATATATTACATCACTATGACCTATCCGCATTTTTTTTTTATTCCTCAATAGATTTTTTTTGCATTTTGTAATGCGTCTTCCAAATTTTCTTTCACGATGGAACGTTTTCTTCCGTGGTCGTAAGTATTGAAGTCTATATACCGCTTTTTCCATACCATATGTCACTTATGTCGTTTAATCATTGTACAAAGGCTTGTTAGGAAGATACAGACATCAAAGCTATCCATTGCCTCCCGAATTTGGTCAACCTTCAAACTCGGAAACGTTGGGAGAGACCTTAGGTATAATCTTATAATCGATCAAGCTATTAATTCTTATATACCATATTCTTCGTACTAACGAACATAATTTATTTTAGACCGTACATCTCCGCAAGATTTACAAAAGGAAGTGGGCAAATATATTATCCGCAAAAATTGGAATCTCTATGTGAGACTGCGGGACAAGTGAAAATAATTCCGAAAATTATTGCACGAAGTGCACAAATGAGCCAAAATACGTTGATTTGAATGTTTTTCTTGAATTGCATAAGGGAATAATGGAAAATTTGGGACAAAGACAGTACGTTAGGGACATAGGTGTGCTTGAATCCGCTTTTCATAGACCACAGTGGATGTTTTATTATTCAGAAGCTCAATCGATTCCATCACTGTTTAGAATGGCCGCCGGCCTTGGAGAGAGCGTTATTAAGAATCATGCATTTTTGGATGGAAATAAGAGAGCTGGCCATCTTGCCATTTCTATGTTTTTAGCTATCAACGATTATGATCTGGTCGCGGATGATGCTTCTACCGAGAAAATTACAATAGGTGTTGCAACAGGTGATGTTAATATAGATATTTTGGAATCTTGGATTACTAGTAATGTGAAAAAGAGAGAGTAGGGATTCGTACTCGTTTTTATACACTTATTATAATTATTAAAATTAATAAAACATTGGTTAGCTTGCCCACATCGGGCTTGTCTTTTTAATTGTATACATGAGTATTGGGTTTATTTAACAATGTATATTCGTGTAATTGGCATTATGAAATAAATCAAAAGATAACGCGCGCACGGTACATATGTAATAATCATAGAACATTTAAAGTTTTAAGTTTATTCAATAAGACCCAATTCTCGAAGATGCTCTGGAATAACTATATATGGGTCTTCGTAGTACCAAACATACCTTAAAACAATCCAGTTTTCTTCACACAATTCTTTCTTGAATTGATCCCGCTCTTGCTGACTTATAAAATTATTGGGATCTCCTCTGTGAAAGAATTCGTGATATTTTTCATGTTGTTGCCCTTGTACTTCGATTGCAAAACCATATTTTGGGTAATAAATGTCAAGTTCTAATCCATTAGGATATTTGGGTGTTTTAAGAAAATGAGGTCGGCGAATTTTAGAAGGTAGACCAAGATATTTTGTTACAATTTCTCTGCATAAATTTTCACGTTTATGTAAACAAAATGGGCACCAACTCCCTTTTTGAATATTATTAAAAGATGCAAACCATTTATGTTTTTTTCCACACATCCATAATAAGGCTAAACGTGTATTAATAAAATTTTTAGAAAGACACGCACCATTTCTATTATATGCAATTTGCTTAGCATCTTCAAGTGTACGAGGTCTATTAAATGCACAATATGGACACCATGTCGTATTATTTTTTATATTATAAAGTGATGCATTCCACTCATGTCCTTTAGAGCAATGCCATAATAAATGCAAATTATTATTAATGTATTTTTCAGAAATACATTTCCCATTTCTAGTATATGCAATTTGCTTAGCGATTTCAAGAGTAAGTGGTCTTCTATGTGCACAATCTGGGCACCACCTGTTACGTTTTATGCAATTAAGATTTGCATACCATTCATGTCCTTTATTACAACGCCATAATAAAGGTGATTTATTATTAATATATTTTTCTGAGAGGCATTCACCGTTTTTGTTACGTGCTACCTCTTTAGCAATTGAAATATCAAGTTTGGTATCTGAACAAATAGGGCACCATGTTTTGCCATTTTTTATAGAGGCAAAAGTAGCAAACCATTCATGTCCTTTGATACATTTCCAGTGCATCAGAGTTTTATAATTATATATGGTTGAAAGACATACCCCGCCACGAGATTCAGCAATAATACAAGCATCATTTAAAGATAATTTTACCATTGAAAATAAGAATTTTAATAGTTCTTTATATCTTATTCTATTTTTCTAATTTTAAAGCAGTATCCCAGCCGGCACGTATAAATAATGGATCGTCATTTGATCAATAACAATAAATTGCTTACCATGTAAATATTTATCGATAACTTTAACGGCATTATGCCAATCATTAACATACCAACGAAGAATTTTCGTGAGGTCATCTATATTACAACTCCCATTAAAAAGTACAATGTAATCCAGATTTTTTCTTATTCATCTAATTTCAAAGGGGTATCCCAACCAAGCCGTATGCTTAAAGGATCGTCTACAGCCTTAGTAAAATCAAAAACTACGAATTCTCGATCCCGCAAATGCTTATCAATAATCTTGGACGCTTTTTTCGGATTATCTGTATATTGACGTACGATTCTACAAATGTCTTCTCGAGAACCACTGCCTCGGAATAGGGCTAGATGTGAGATGTTTTCACGAATGATTTTTGGCGTTTGTATATATTTCTGGCTTACATATATGGGTGAGATATTTCGATGCCGGCCACTAATGAAGTAAGGAATAATTCATTCTTGCACTTTTTTCGGTTCGGCGCATAGATCCTCAAATACAACAACTGTACTTCGCTCTGGAGAGAATTTAGTTATATCTGGAATTTTATCTGGAGATATTCTTTTAAATGTGACATCTTCTCGATATGGTTTAGGGGCATTCGCAAAGATCTGAAAGCTATTTTGTACAAGTTGCCATTTCGGCTCAAAATGTTTGCCTATTAATACGAGATCATCATTTTTGATATAACGATTTCCTTTCTTACCTTTAAACATTCGTTGTAATTTATTACCCAGCATAAGATTAATTACCATATTGGTTTTTCCGCTATTGGATCCTCCACATACCAGTAATCTGAATGGACAGTCGGGGGCATATTTGTTAGATTTCATTCATTCTGAGGAGTTTTTAGATGTCTCATCGATATTGTATACAAATATGGGCATTTTTTCTTCTTTCATTCCGAATAAACTAAGAATACTAATCTATTATATCGAAAAAATATTAATCGAACTAGATAAGCATTTAAAGTTTTAAGTTTACTCAATAAGACCCAATTCTCGAAGATGTTCCTGAATAACTATATATGGGTTTTCATAGTACCAAACATACCTTAAAACGATCCAGTTTTCTTCACAAAGATCCTTTTTAATATGGTCTCTCTTTTGTTGTTTAATTAAATTGTTAGGATTTCCTTTATGAAAGAAGTTATTGTAATAATCATGTTGTTCTCCTTGAACTTCTATAGTCAAGCCATATTGAAGATAATAAATATCCAGTTCTAATCCTCGTGGAAATTCAAGTGTTTTTAAGAAATTAGGTCGGCGTATTTTAGATGGGGGTCCAAGATATTTTGACACAATTTCTCGACATAAATTTTCACGTCTATTTTTTATACAATGTGAGCACCAAGTTCCTCTTTGAATACTGTCAATTCGAGCTAACCATGAATGTCCTTTGAAACAGCTCCAAGATAGTGGTGTACGTCTATTATGGTAAGAAATAGAAAGACAGGTTCCACCCCTTTCAATTGCAAGATTTTGTGCATAATTGAGCCCAAGTTTCATACATTCACGACACCAATTTCCGGTATTTTTAACATCTGCAAGAGAAAGACGAAATTGATGTTTATTTTCACATTCCCACAAAAGAGGTGAAGAGTTATTAATATATTTTTCTGAAATACATCTTCCATTCTTATTAAGTGCTAGCTTCTGAGCTACTGAAATATTAAGTTTTTTACTTGCGCAATAAGGACACCATGAACGACGATTTTTAATACTATTAAATAGAGCAACCCATTGATGCTTTTTACTACACTCCCATAACATTGGCGTGTAAGAATTAATATATTTTTTTGAAAGACATTGACCTCCTCAATTTCGTGCTAATTCTCTAGCTATCAAAATATCTAATTTATTACTTCTACAGATTGGACACCACGAATTTTTGTTTTTGATACGGCAAAATGGAGCAGTCCATTGATGTCCTTTAGCACATTCCCAAAGCATTGAAGTTTCACAATTAATGTATTCTTCAGAAAGACATCGTCCTCCACGAGATTTGGCTATATGAATTGTATCACTTAACGATAATTTCGGAGACATTGGAAATGAATATATTTTTTTAATAACTATTCTTACCTTCAAAATGCCGGATCAAGCTTTTCTATTTTCATCCCGATTAAGCTAAATATGTCTTGACACTAGCTTTGCTATTATATCGAAAAATAATGATCTTTATTGTGATATATACATATTCACTGGATTTTTCTATTCTGATAAATCATAGATTCGAACTTGTATTACACCATCTGTATCTGACTCACTATTCGTATCTGAATACCAACCGAAAATATTGAGAGTGGGATTTTTATTCTGTAAGGTTATAATTGCATTCATGTTGATTTCATCGCAATCAGCGATAACAAGCTTCTGGAGATTACACAAATTTGCTAATGCAGACATAGATTTATCAGTAATATCACACCCTTCAAGATAAAGCTGTTCAAGTTCTGGACACAATTGTGCTATTACACAAATAGACACATCAGATACAAGACACCAACCAAGGTTGAGATATTTAAGATTTGGGTTAGATTGCGCAATTTTTTTAACCAATATATCAGTAATCTCTTCACACTCTTCCAATACATATTTTTGCATATTCGGATATGCTGAAGCAATTACACATATACCTTCATCAGTTATTTTTTGGCATCCGACTAAACTTAGAATGAGAAGTTTTGGACACGATTTGGCAATCTGTTTTAATGATGCATCGGTAATATTATTCCCACATAAACCAAGATATTCTAAGTGTGGGCAGTTTTGTGCAATTAGGATTATAGATGCATCGGTAATATGTTTATTATAATCCAATTTTAAGCAACGCAAATTAGTACATAAGCGGGCAACTTTTTTCAATGATATATCAGATAGTTTAGAAGATCCAAATTTTAGGTGTTGTAGATTTGGGCATGAATTTGTGATTTTACATAAAGTTGTATCTGTCATATTATAAAATTCACTATTTTGTTTTATACCTTTACTATTGCACGAAACACTGAGGAATTCCAAAGGACAAATTTGTACAATCTTACTAATGACTCTATCAGATAAATCACAACACCATTTGATCTTTAGATGGCGTAAATTGGGACAGGATCTAGCAATTCCATATAGCTCATCATTAGAGACCTTGCAACTAGAGATATGAAGTTGAAGTAAATATGAAGCATGAGATTTTTGATTTCCACGCATTATCTTTTTGAATTTATCCCACTGCATACAAGATTTTTTTAGATCGCCAGAAAATTCAGCCTTTCTCCATAATATTGGGGCAGAGCATAAATACCACAACCTGTTGACGAATAAGGTCAGGTATAATGTTTTATCTTTGGCAAGATATGAGAAATTTTCGATTAAAAGTTCAGGCAAGGCAAGTGGATGAAGTTTATTATATGTCATAGTCATCTTTGCAAATTTATTCTTTATGC